TTTTCATTAAATTATACGGAATAAAGTCAATACTGATGCCAAAATATACCCAAACAATGACAACTTCTAGCACTTACGAGAGCTAATCACAAAGACAACTGCGAGATGAATCTCGAGCGCGATTGAAATAAAGGAAAGATCCAAATGACTGATTTTCATGTTTTCAATAATATTCAATTGAAAAAATAGGAAATATATGATAATTAGTCAAAAATGTACTAAATTTACTCCCCTTTATAAACTTGTAACGCTTCATTCTACATATATCACAACATGACAAATATGTCTCCGATCCCGATGAAGACACATTTTTAAAAAATATTGTGGGAATTTGTGGGATTCTCTAGAGAATCATTTTACTCATGAAAAAATCATTAAATATGTTAAAAATCGTTAGAAGTACTTAATTGTACTTAACACTAGATCTTAAATGAATATATGAAAACTTTCGCATATGTTGTGCTATTCAGGCGTAACAAAAAAATATGTTTGTTTACGGTTACCCGACCGACCCTAATTTTAATCGCCGACCCAAACTTTTTTTTCGTCTAAAAATCCGGAAGTTACTGGCCGGTCAGTTTAACTTTTACATTCATCTTTGAAATCGAAATTGAAAGTACAGAAACAAAACAAGTTAGTTCAATTTCTACATCAACGAGTTTGTTGCAATTTGCTTACCATTGCGTGGCAGTTGCAGGGGTGTGCAACTAGCATTGCCCAACACCCGGACCTATCGTTTTTTGGGGGGTAGTAAAAATAAAATTTAAATCATGCATGTAAATACATGAGAAACACAAACGATATTTTCACTCATTGTTTTGCTATTTTATTTCCAACTAATGAAAATTTTTCAGGCAGCATTCTCCTACTGCTCTTAAATCACTTTAATCTCATCCATTTTGCAGTACTGCCTGACTTATTTACTTAAAAAATGATTGTTTTTTTTTCCTAATCGGAATTTCCTCCATTCCTCTGTTAATGGTAAATACATGCAGATATCTCTTTCAATTATATACGATCCCCAAATCAAATGATAGCTAAGTGTTATGTGATTAAACTTTAATATATGTCAATTATACTTAATGGTTTGAAATGAAAGTAAAATGATTTTTGCTTCATGTTAGAAAAGCTAGAGTAGTGCGATATGTTCAGAAAAGAAAAGATAATTTCTTAAAAGTTTTAAACTTCAACTTTAAAAGGAATGGCTTAGGACCCTAGCTTTCTCAACTATGAATTTTTTAAAATATTATTTTTTACAGTTTTTTGCCCCAATATTTGGACTAGTCACTTTTAAATTTGGACTAATAACTTTATTGTTGTTACAAGCCTGTGGGTTAGTGCTTGATTTTTTTTTTAATTACACACCCCTGAGTTGTAAGGCAGTTGGCAAGAAAGATTATATTGTCTACCACTCATATTACAAGCCCAAACAAAATTAAGGCACTGTACAATGGTAAAACTGTTTTGTAATTCAACCAATTCATGTGAATTTGTGTATTAAAAAAATTCAATAAAATTAAAAAAAATTCCTACCTACCGACCCTATTTTATTTCAGCATGTAACAGTAAACAAAGTTATTTTTTTGTTTGGCCTCATTGAAAGTTCATTTTCTTCAAAGTAGCTTTATGAAATGATTGTTATGTACATTAAGAGAAATAATATTATAAAAACTTCCTGTTACTTATGTCATGTTGTAAATTTTGAATTTACCGGGTGGCAGTAAATACAAAATTTACAACAGTTGTCATGTTGTAAATTTTGTATTTACTGCCACCCGGTAAATTCAAAATTTACAACATGACACTTACTTAAGGCCAAAATAAAAAATACCTTTGTTTCCCCTAACGCAACCGACCCAATTAAATCGCACCGACTGAAAAGATTTTTTAAATAAGAAGATTCAATTATTTTTTTATTGTTCACTAAGTTTCATAAAATACAATTTCATCAAAATCAGTTTTTAGCAGAACGGCCAACATTGTTCTACTGTGATTTGTTGAAGAAAATGGCACCAAGATGTGATTACTGAGAAAAAGTTCTTTATAAAACAACGGCGACGTCTCAATCTTATGCCTTTACTAGCTAGAATTCTTCACTCTTGAAACAGTCTGATAATAAAGTTTACCACGACAAATTAAGAGTGTTTCGGAGGTGTCTTGGCCTCTCCATGTGAGTGAAAAATTTTTCGAAAGGGACGGTAAACAACAAATAAATCTGTCTGTTGAATTTAAGGTATGTAATACATGTTACTTGTAAGGCCCGCCTAATGACTAGATGAGGGGCCCACCTAGTGAACACATCATTGAATTTCACTGCATTTTATTAAATTTCAGTTTTGATCTAATAACCAGTTCATCTATGTTCCTATGTTTACTATATGCCATTACGGAACCATAGGAGTTGTTGTAAATATGTCTGCATATTCATCCTGAATTTCCTTTCTTTAATGCCTTTATCTATGGGTTAAACTGCGTGACTATGACATTGTATATACATGTAGCATTTTTACTATTTGTAGATTCGGTTTGGTTCAATTAAATAATGTTTAAATACTCTTTACGAATAGTTCTGAAATCATGATTCAGCTTTCTGAGACGTCCATTGTATTTTTCTTTAATTAGACCCTTGTAGATTGGTTGTTTCTTTGCTTTTAATCCCTTCGAGATTTGTTTGGACGACATTTGAACATTTCCCCATTGCTCCAAATTTAGACGTACTCAGCATTTTTTTGCCATTAAGCAGTAAGGGATCTTTTTTGAGCCAGCATCTTTTGTGAGACTGGACATAAGTTTTTATGGTCCCTTTTGAAAGACTGTTTTCAATGTTCCTTATTGGTATTTGGACCCGTGACTTAAAATTAGACACTTACTTCTAAATTCTAAAGCAATATGCTCTAGAAACACGGAAAATCTGATGGCCCTCAAAAAGTACATTGATTGTCTATAAGCACTGGGGGCTGATGGAAGGTTTGCAAAAATATACTTGACCTTTAAAAATAGTAATTTTCCTTTAAAACAGTATGTTTGATACTAGCATTTTGTTCACAAATCGCATTCTTTTGTACTTTTCTTACTTATTAAGTTTTTTTCTATTAAATTTTAGAATGTATTTTCAAAGCTTCTGTCATCAAATAAAATTGTTTACCTACCTACCGACCCACCTTGAGAATTCGCCTAATCAGTTACTTCCAATTGACATTGCTAAGATCCAGTGTATTCACTTTCATATCAATGTTTACTTCACGTAACAAATTCGAACGAATTGTGCCTTCCTAATGTAAAATGGCGGTCTTGGTCTTTCCAGTTTAAAAATAAAGGTTTTTTCTTAAAAATTCTTTGGGGTGTTTATGGAGTGGACTGATGTTATTTTTGGGTATAGATGGAAAGGAGAGGGTTTGAAAAAAAATATAGAATTGTTAATATGTGAAATTTTGCGTATTTGAGAATCAAAATAATTGGTAGTCTGTGTCCTATGAGGTCAAAGGTGTCTTTATCAATTGATGTGTGTCGATCTATATATAATGTTGTAGGTGACATAAAACCCATTCCTCGCCTATAAATGTACTCTAGCGTGAGATATCTCACAAGTTCAACTAAAAAACAGTTAAAAATTAATTAATCATTAATTTTCCTTTAAACAGCATATGTTTGATACTAGCATTTTGTTCACAAATCGCATTCTTTTGTACTTTTCTTACTTATTAAGTTTTTTTCTATTAAATTTTAGAATGTATTTTCAAAGCTTCTGTCATCAAATAAAATTGTTTACCTGACTTCTTCTACCCTCTTGTGGCATCTTGGACATCATTGTACCTACCGACTCCATTTTAATAGAACCTTCTCCACACCCCCCCCCCCCCCCCGTTCTAGCTTCCAAGCATCTCCAGGAGTGATTATAGGTGACACAGGCATGGTATGTATTTTCCCACCTTGAGAATTCAGGGTCGAGTTAGGGGAAACAAAGATATTTTTAATTCCGGCCTAATCAGTTACTTCCAATTGACATTGCTAAGATCCAGTGTATTCACTTTCATATCAATGTTTACTTCACGTAACAAATTCGAACGAATTGTGCCTTCCTATATGTTACTATTTTTAGATAAAATGGCGTCAACGGGAATAGCTACATGTGCATGTGGGTTTTTGTGTTTTCAGTTTCACTGCGTCTGTTATGAAAAACATCGTTTTTCCCTTCTTAGCTGAACTTTTACACCAAAAGAAACGAAAAGAAAAATAACCAACCTCGTTAGTTTGTACTGTATATATATGCCTTTTAACGTAGTTGGGGTTCAACTGACCTGTAGTAGTGACACGCCATAGCTGCCTCGGAATGAGTTAGTATTAGAATTATCGACCCCTGTTTATTGCCGGCTCCGTTAGAGGCGCTTGCCTTCAGGTCTTAATATTAGGTCTCTATTTATTGTCTGAATTTTTAAAGTCTACCATATGCACTGCAACACACATGGTGGAGTATTTTCCAAATACTAGGCAACTTAAGGCTATACATGTATATTGAACTAAAAAAATTCTATATAATTTATTCAGTTTGGAAAAATCCATTGTTGTTTACGAAATATAGACTTAGGCCTTAGACGGTGTTTCCATTTATCTAAAGCACTGTAAAAATAGCTACGATTAAAATTTATAATAAATTTTTATTTATTGTAAATTCGTTATGTGACCATGATAATTCTATCACTATGTTATCACATTATTTGTTTTAAAAATGTGTTTATGATTTAAATCTCTATTTTAATAGATACTCATGCAACCCACAGATTTGAAAAAACGTATTATAAATCGCAAACCATAAACTTTTATTTTCTTCAAATCAATTGCAAAAAATTACTCGATCCTGTCGATTTTTATACGAACGATAACCCCCATCTAACAAGGGATGAATCCTTATTATTCTGACAATTTAATATGCATTGGAACTAAATCGAAAGGGCGCTATAATCTGACAATTTAATATGCATTGGAACTAAATCGAAAGGGCGCTACATATTGAAAGGGGGGCTAAACCACCACAAAGGTTAACCCCAATTCAATGTCTATATAAATAATGTAATATTTACAACACCCCCCCCCCCCGGATAATCTATGAAACCTTAATATCTATAAATACACATGGATAGAATAGTATGTACGCCATATAACGTAGCTGCAGATCTGTAGCGTTATGGTTTCATATATTTGTCTTCGACATAACGCTACAGATCCCGTAATGCAAAATACCTAGTTCTAGACACTTTATGCAAGCCAATATGTATATGGATTCACCTCCTAACCATTTAAAGTTGTTTTACTGGCAATTTTCTCGCTTAAAGTGAAATTACAGATTAGTTTAATATAATGTAAATAAATTTAGGGACTGAAAAGTAGTTAATTGACTGAAGTAGGCAAGTTAAGAATTTCTATCTCTCCAAAAGTGCGCAAAAAATGTTGCGCCGTAAATTGCACCTTTTTTGCAACATGGAATCTATTTAAGTACATGCTTATGAAGACAGAGAGAACAATTTACTAAGTCTATCAATCTGGATTCGTGTATGCCTTGTTTAAGGTCTTGATAAAATTCGAACAAGTTGCCAGGCGATCCCCCCCCAACTTCTAGTAGAATTTTAACCATGCAAATTTCTTTATACATTGAACTATTGCCAAAATTACTAAATATTTAAAATATATCATATAAATGATTTACTCATTCCACTTAATCAGATGAGTTATTGGAATGACACTGTGACACC